CCAATACCTACGGAAACAGGACCACCTATACTAATGGCAGAAATAAGAGCAGCCATAATATCACTAAAAGAAGGCAGAGCTCCAGGACCAGATCTCCACTGTACTCCAGAGTACAATCTGAATTTCTTAAACTTCTTGATGATGAATCTTTAAGAGTACTATGTAAAATCTTCAATAATATCTATGACACAGGCAATATCCCAAAAGATTGGCTACTTTCAGAATTTATTACCTTACCAAAGAAACAGGGAGCAAAAAAGTGCGGAGAATATAGGCTAATAAGTCTAATGAGCCATACATTAAAACTTTTTCTTAAAATTATACATCGTAGAATATACAAGCTATGCGAAGAGAGAATACAAGACACACAGTTTGGATTCATGAAAGGCGTAGGTACAAGAGATGCACTGTTTAGTCTACAAGTATTATTTCAAAGATGCAGAGATATGACTTGCGATATTTACACCTGCTTTGTGGACTACCAAAAAGCATTTGATACAGTTCAACACCAAAAAATGATGGATATTCTAACAAAAGCCCAAATGGATGATAAAGATCGGCGTATAATACAAAATTTATACTGGAACCAATCAGCCACAATAAGAACGAATTTTGGAGGTGAACCAACGGAAATGATCCAGATTCTACGAGGCGTTAGACAAGGTTGTATACTTTCACCTATATTATTTAATCTATATTCAGAGGAAATATTTAGTGAAGCCTTGGAAAAATGCGAACATGGAATACTTCTAAATGGAGAACGCCTAAACAACATCCGTTATGCAGACGACACCGTTATTTTTGCAGACAGTTTGAACAGTTTACAGCAACTAATAAACAAAGTAAATGAAGTAAGTGAAAGATTTGGACTTCAAGTAAATATAACAAAAACTAAATTTATGATCATCAGCAAAAATAAAGTTAGAGACGCTCAACTACTTATCAATAATACACCAGTGGACCGAGTAAAACAGTATAACTATCTTGGAACAACAGTAAATGAACAATGGGATCACTCACAGGAAATAAAATGTAGAATAGAGAAGGCTAGGAGTGCATTCAAAAACATGGCCAAACTCTTTAAAAGCCACAATCTTAATCTGGAGATAAAAGTAAGGCTCCTACGATGTTATATCTTCTCAATATTGTATTACGGAGTTGAATCCTGGACACTAACTGAAGCAATGGAGAAAAAACTTGAAGCCTTCGAGATGTGGCTATACAGGCGAATTCTAAGGATATCATGGACAGACAAGATAACCAACGAGACCGTATTACGGAGAGTGGGCAAAGAAAGAGAGGTGATGTATACCATTAAAAGGAGAAAGTTGGAATATCTCGGACATATAATAAGAAACAGCACTAAATACAGATTACTGAAGGTAATCCTAAATTGATCCTCAAGTATCAAGTAATAACTGCTGATCTTCCAAATTACCAGTTATAAACACTGTGTCGTCCTTATAGCGTAGGTTGCTAATTGGTATGCCGTTCACCTTAATGCGTAATTCCGTGTCTTCTAATGCTTCCGCAAATATATTTTCAACAAATAAATTAGAAAGCATCGGAGAGAGTATGCAGCCTTGGCGGACACCTTTCCGGATTTCAAATTCATCCGTATATTGGTCTTGATCAATCCTCACCTTTACCATTTGGTTCCAGTATAGATTCTGAATAATTCTGATCTCCTTCTGGTCAATGTTAGCCCTATGTAGTAGTTCCATCATGATACCATGTTTAACATTGTCAAATGCCTTCTCGTAGTCGATGAAGGTGGGGTAGACATCTTTTCGTTGATCTAAGCAGTTTTGTATTAAGGTGTTCAAACGTAAAATTGCCTCTCTTGTTCCTTCCTAGTCCTCCGTTAAAACCGAATTGTGTTGACCCGCTAAGTTCTTCTGGTATCTTGTACATTCTTGAGTGTAATATCCTAAGGAAGAGTTTCAGCAAGCAAGCAATATATTATGAATGGTATAAACATTAAATAATACATTTACACAAGACTAGATTTCAGCAAAATGAGAAGAGTGCTATGTACCAGGGATTTAAAACTGGAACTAAAAGTTAGGTTGGCGAGCTGCTATGTTTTTTCGACTTTATTTTATGGAATGGAATCTTGGACCTTAAATGCGACATCAATAAAAAAACTGGAATAATTCGAGCTGTGGGTGTACAGAAGAATACTGAAAATATCGTGGACAGAACACGTCACAAACAAAGAGGTTCTGGGAAGGATGAATAAAGAAATGGAAATTTTAAATACAATAAAAACAAGAAAATTAGAATATCTCGGACATATTACACGTTGAGAGAAATACATCTTGCTGATCATCGCAACTGATTATGCAGGGAAAGATCCAGGGAAAGAGAAGCATAGGGAGGCGTAGAATGTCATGGCTGTGCAACCTGAGAGAGTGGTACGAATGTACATCAAATGAACTTTTCAGAGCAGCCGTCTCAAAAGTCCGAATAGCTATGATGATTGCCGACCTCCTCCGCGGAGATGGCACTTGAAGAAGAAGAAGACAAAAGACAAAGAGTTTAAAAACAATTCAAAATTTAAGAAGCTACATTGTGCGTGACAACAGGAGAGAGAGAATGGCTCCTAGTCTTAACGGAAAATTTAAAGTGACATCTAACATATGCCAACTTGGATGAGTGGTCACAATCATGGTGATATGATCTGCACATTTTAAAATTCTATTGTAAGCTGAACATTGACCAAAAGTCCAACTGAACACTAATATAGGAAGTAAACTGATGAAATATGAAATTATATAAATATAATTATTTATTATATAGATGTCAGGCATCTGAGAAATGTAATTTTAGATATTGTTTGGAACGTATTCAACAATGATTTCCACTTGGAGATTAACAGGTCAACCAGTATTTTACTGTCCCAGTCTAAGAGCAATTACCAGAGATGTTGTTACGAAATAGCCTTGATCAGGTGGTCAGTTAATACCTGGACCTTTAGAAGTTAAGATTAACTTCTGAAGTGCATGCCATATTACATTCTTTTGATAATGCAAGAGAATTTTAATGCATTTCATGAAGTTAAATGTGATGCTGTAAATGGCCAACTTATAAACAACATTAGATATGCAGACGATACAGTGTTGCTGGCAGATAGTGCGCAGGGGCTTCAAAGAATGATAGATAACGTTGTAGAAGCATGTAACAAATACGGTCTAAAACTAAATTGCAAGAAGGCAAAAATAATGATCATTAGTAAGAACAATAAATAGTGAATGCATTCAAATGGGACTTGACATCAACACAGATAAGACCAAATTTATGATAGTATCAAGGAGTCCAATAAATAATGAACAACTAACTCTTGGTGGACAGCAAATAGAGAGAGTGACAAAATATAAATATCTGGGAGCTTACATCAACACAGAATTAGATCCAGACCAAGAGATCCAGATACGAATAGAAATGGCAAGGGCAGCATTCTTAAAATTCAAACAATTGTTCTGTGACAAAAATCTGAATATTGCGCTGAGACTGAGGTTTGTTGAATGTTACGTCTGGTCGCAATTATTGTACGGGGTAGAAACATGGACACTAAAAGCGCAAATAGTTAAAAAGATTGAAGCCTTTGAACTTTGGATATACCGGAGAATGTTGAGAATCCCATGGACTGCCAGGGTCACCAATGAGGAAGTGCTGAGAAGAATGGGTCGAGTCAAAAAATTGTTGAGAACGATAAAAGTACGCAAGACTGCATACCTTGGACACATACTAAGAAATAATAAATATAGTCTTCTGCAGGTCATCATGCAGGGTAGAGTCGATGGCAAAAAGGGAATAGGTAGAAAAAGGAAGTCATGGCTGCGAAATATTCGAGACTGGACAAACATGACTGTAGACGAATTATTCCACGTTGCAAAAGACAGAGAAGCTTTTAAAAATGTGGTCGCCAACCTCCGTTAATGGGGACGGCATAGGAAGAAGAAGAAGTAAGAACAACGGCATAAACGCATAATATATCAATATACGCATAAGAATTCTTAGATGTTACGTCTTTAGTGTCCTTCTCTATGGAGTAGAAAGCTGGAGCCTTACAAAAGATGCCATAAAATGATTGGAGGCATTTGAAATGTGGTGCTACCGGCATATGCTGAGGGTCTCATATATACACCACACACGTAACATAACTATTTTCCAGAGGCTAAGAAAAGACAAAGAAATTATTGACACCATAAAAACAGAAAATCAGGTTACTTCAGCAATATCATGCGTAATGATAAATACCGACTTCTACAGTTGATTCTACAGGGCAAGATTGAGAGTAAGAGATGCCTAAACGTAGACGTATATCCTGGCTGGCCAATCTTAGGAAATGGATTGGTCTAACGTCAACTGATCTATTTTGAGCTGCTTTAAATAGAATAAGATGGGTCAATGTGGTCGCCAACATCTCTAGAAGATAGGCACATTTAAAAGATGAAATATTGGAAACCATTAAGACACCAAAGCTGCAATACTTGGGGCATTTTATGCATAATAAAATATACAACATACTTCAAATAATTATACAAGGGAAAATCCAAGGCAAGAGAAGTGCAGGAAGGAGAAGAATCTCATAGTTGCGTAACTTGAGGGAATGTACGGATGCACATCAATCGAACTATTCAGAGCTGCAGCATCTATTATCTATAGATAAAGAAGAAGATATATATTACCGATTTTTGAACTTCTATAAATATTTTGTACGTCTCCCTTTGTTATAAAAGGTTCTGGCACTGTTTTCTGGTGGCATGTCTGTTAGATCCGATTTTTCTCTTCTATTCTTAAATTATTGTCTGTGACATTTTAATACTTTTCTTAGCTTTCTTTGTTATTATATCTTAGCTGTCTTTGTAATTTATGTATTGTGCCAAAAGCGGCTGTCGTTAGATATCAAAAAAGTTTTTCCATGCCTTGTTATTAACAAATTTTGGGATTTCTAGTGAAATGTAGTTATATAAGTATATCTGTTCAAAACTTACCTTTAACTTTAAGACTTTCGGCTGTTTTAAGTAACGCTGACAACTGACAATATTCGACGTTAACTTCGCCTTTGTACATAAACTCAATAAGTGTCCTGAGCTCTGAAAACCGCACGTCCTTAAGGATAACAATGGGATGCCTGCTGGGGTGGTCGACGAACAGCGTCTGGAAATAGGAAGAGCAAGCGGACAGCACTACCTGGAAACAAATAATACCAAATAAGAATACTAACAGTTGTTTCCGTGTTTAGTCATTTCAGTTTTCAAAACTAGGCTTACTCGACTTCTTTCCACTAATAGACTAATATACATATACTACTCTCCAAAATTAACGCATCACCTTAAATGTACCATAAGTTTGAAGCTATTTTTTTTTGTACCATTGATTGGATTTCGATGATTTTTTTTACCACATTAAAGGTCTATTTCTAAGGAATTAGTGTATTTACCGTTTTCTAAGAAATGTCGACGTTCTACCCATATACGGGGTGTAAAAATAAAGTTATGTTTTTTCACCTTATTTTGCAACACCTTTTGAAATTAATATTGTTCTGAAGCTAGTTTCTGGTGGCATTTTAAAGTAATTACTATTTAAATGGGAATAAGCCACAATTAAAGGTTAAGGTTCGTTTATTAAAATAATAAACTTACTTTAACTTTTAATTGTGGCTTATTCCTATTTAAATAGTAATTACCCTATGAAATTTATTATAAAAAAACGGTACATCTTATTAAGATAGCGAAATAACTTTATATTTTCTCAAATTATCTTTTTATAGATATTTAAAGCAAATAAAACACTACTTGCACAAACTTTATTCATATTTCAAAAAAACTAAAGCTTAATAGAACATAACCTAAATAATATTTAACAAGTTCCATCTCTCAAAAACACTCAATAACGAGTATTTCCGCCTCTATTTCTAATTACTTCCTCCCATCTTTCCAGCGACAAGGCATAATTAAAATCAAGCGTCGTGTTTTACTTTTATGTCGTCAAAAGAGACAGGTGGTGGCTGTCGGCTACTCAGTTGACTGATTAATAATATCCCACAAATTCTCTATGTAATTTAGATCGTGCTGCAGGGTGGCCAGTTCATGGTTTGTAAACCAAGCTCGTCCAAATAATCACGGACCACACGTGCAATATGTGATCGAGCATTATGATGCATTAAAAAATTATTCCCTATTCCCTAACAAAAGTACACACTATAACAGATCCTCCATTGAATAAAGTAATAGGTCGTATTTTGCGCTGTGCATAGCGTTCTCTTGGCCGTAGAAGAAAGGCAGAAATTCGAATTTCTGCCTTTTTCCCAATTCGAACCGATGATGCGACGGATATCTGACATCCAGCTTTACATACATATAAGTGGCTATATTTACCGCACGCAGCGCTATGGCATCCATTTTTTCTTTACATTTTTAAAGAGAAGAAGGAAAATCTGCATACAGACACCTGTGACTCCCCCAGTTAGTGTTGGGTTCCTAATACCCTAACGAAGTTGTGCCAGGACGAGATTCCCGACGGAATTTAAACTTTGACACTTCGTCCCGTCACCAATCCGAGACGGTCGGCGTCCAACTAAAAACCTCTCCTCTGTCACTCTAGACATCAGGATGGAAGGGCTTGTTAAGGCAAAACATCTCTCCTGATGCCCTACTATCACCCGATTCCCATTCTTTCTCCCATACATTCATCGTAAAAACCATACCCACACTAACCACCAAATATTTTCAACCCCCTGCCTTAGCGAGGCGGCCATCTCTCTCGCGTCTTCTGTCACTCATTTGCTACTATTTCGGCCTGCGATAGTCCTAACCCCACCAAGGTCCTACTCGCTCGTTTTAAAATTCTGTATCGAGTTCCCTCCCCTCTCGTTCTTTTGAAGAGAGCAGCTCCCTAATAAATTTCTGGATACGTGTCCACTACCAGTCATTTTGATGGACTTAGTACTTTTGTTTTGAACGTATCACCAGGTAGAAAAGTGTTTTTCTTCGAGTTATTAAGTAAGGTTAACCTTTGAATAAAATATTGCTTTGGCTTGACTTACAAGCTTCATGTCTAGCTTATTTAAAATTGAAATATTTGTAATGTGATCGATCTAGAGAATTCGTAATATTCTTCACCAACATAACATTTCAGTATATCTATCTATCATTCTTCTTTTCGCTTTTCGTAGGTTCCAAGATTCACATCCTTATGTCAGTATTAAAAATTTAGTTAGCAGTTAGTCAACCTCATTTTTAGAGTTCGTGAAATTTGAGAGTCTTTCCATATTTTGTCCATCTTTCCTACGGCTACTTTTAATAAATCCCATATAAGTTTTGCTTCTTCCGGTAGTGACCCTGCGTTCGTAATCAATGATCCCAGATGTAAATATGAGCTCACCGCAAACCACAAACCGATCAATTGTGGTTATGTGTGGATGATTTTTATGTAGCCTATCCACCTTCATGATCTTTGCCTTTGATAAGTTTAACTACAGACCAAATATTTTTGACTTTTGTTTTCAACCAGTCATTTGCAAAAAGAGCTGCGTCGTTTGCAAAACGTAGGTTGTTTCGGTCATTTATTGAGATGCACTATTCCCATCCTTCAAGCGCACTTCTCATAATATGCTCCCCATATACGAGGTCTGTTTATTCAATAACCAGACTGCTTATGAAAGAGTTTTCTTCAAAAAATTATTCTACAATCGAATACTCTTCTTCAATATATTCCCTTTCCCTCGCCACACACCGTTCCATTCGTTTTTTTCCATTGGTCAAAGCAATGCTGGAAGTCTTCTTTTGTTAGAGCTTTTAGGAGCTCCGACGTTTTTCACTTCACCTCTTCCATCGACTACTACCGGATTCCTTTTAAGGCAGACTTGATCTTCGGAAACAGGAAAAAGTCACAGGTTGGACAGGTACGTTGTCCTGGTGCAAGATCCACGGCTGGTTTTTTCACAACTTACGAACTTACGAACTCGCTCTCGCAGCGTTGCCAAAACTTTCAAATGGTAAGTTGGGTTTACAGTTGAACCCTCTGGAACCCATTATCACGATGCGGTTAATGTCGATTAGCATGGCATTAAATTTTGATTTCGACATCCTTGCTTTTTTCATTCTTGGCGATGCAAGAGTTTTCCAGTGTATGGATTGTCGCTTAGTTTCAACATCGTATTTGAATATCCAGGTTTCATCGCAAGTGACGATGTTTTCAATTAATTCAGGCTCTCCATGTAACCTCTCAAGATAATCTGAGCAGATCTGTTGACGGACGATCTTTTGGTCACGGGTCAAATTTTTTGGGACCAACTTCGCACAGACTTTCTTCATGTACAATTCGTCATATAAAATTTTTCTGATAGTTTCTTTATCGGCGTTAACAGTCTCAGCAATCATCCAAATGCTCATACGATAATATCCACGTACAATTTCATTTATTTTAATCACTGTTCGCGGAATTGAAGCAGATAAAGGTCGACCTGGACTTGATCATCTTCGGCGCTCTCTCGGCCTTCATAAAACCCTTTATACCATTCGAAAATACGCGCAGGAGGTATGCGCGTATATATACATATCGAGATTCAATATGTATATCCTCCAATGGACAATTGGATTAATGAGAATGCAACATCCCAAACTGCAGTTTCTACAACGTCTCGAGGTTGGATGGAAACTACTTTGTTTTTTAACTGCTTTAGAGATGTTTTTTTACCTAATATTACAAAGGAGAGACCAGTTTTATTAATATATGATGGCCATGTTACCCATGTGTCCACAGATTTAATTAAATTAGCACAAAAAAATTAAATTACTATAATGAAGTTACCTTCACACACAACACAGTTATTACAACCCTTAGATGTATCAGTTTTTAGAGGTCTGAAAAATAGTTGGGACAAGGCACTCAGTAAGTGGCAGAGGGAAAATCCTCGCAAAAAATTCCTAAAGAAATATTTGTACAAATGATAACCAAGCTAGCACATGACATATCTAGTGTTAATATTATTAATGGATTTAAAGCCACAGTAATTTATAATGCCGATAAACAAGGTCCCAACAGAGATGCAATTCCTGCATCAATATTCAAAAAAGATGATTTGCTTAGGTATAAAAATAATCTTCCCGATCCCACTACAGTACACTTGGAAGCTACTGCTTCTTTGGCTGCCCAACACTCAGTAACTATCCCTTCCTCTGCCACAGTACAATCAGAAGACACTAGGCCTACATCTTCAGCAGTACGACAACCAGATGCGACTCCTGTTATAGGAAATCAGGAAGACGACAATAAACCAAAAGTACGGCTACAAGCATCCCATACTTCTTCAGATACGATACAATCAGATGTCTCGAACGCTTTAATCATAATAGAGCAGCCAGAAACGTCTGTCTCTACCTTTGCAATGGTCGAAAGAACAGAAGCTAGTTCTGCAAACGAAGTTCAAGTAGAAAAAGAATGCCCTGTCTCGCCAATTGGACCTACACAAACACGTAAATCATTTGAGGAGTTGTTGTTAGAAATGATGAAAAAGGATAAAAGACCACAGAATTTAGAGAAGAAACGTAAAAGACTGGTCACTAACTGTGAAATTATCACCTGCAAAGATTACCTAATAAAAAAAGAACAAGAGGAGAAAGAAAAACTGAAAAAAATTGATAAACAAGAGGAGAAAGAAAAAATGAAAAAAAATTAAAAACAAAAATATGAAAAGAAAGGCAATACCCAAAGCTAAACGAAATAGACCTACACTAAACTTATTAAAATACAAGAAAAAGAACAGTTTTGATTGTCTATCAGAAAGTAGTGATGTTGTTGATTTGCAAGATATTGTAGAAGAAAATGAAAGAGATATAGATAGCGAGAAGAAATTTGAAATGTTCTGTAATAATATTGATGAGCAGACCTGTGGGGATTTTCAGCAACTAGGCCTCAAACAAATTGTTAAAAAAGTTGGTGAATATGTAATCTTTAAGTATAAAGAAGAACATTTTCCAGGAAAGATCTTAAGCTTTACCAATTACCAGGTTGAAATTTCATCGATGCAGAAATCTTTTAAGTTGAAGAACCAAAAATTATTTCTAAAAGAGGGTTTTTTCACGTGAAAGAAATGCAGCATTTGTGGGACATTATATGAGATTATAAACGTTTCTTTACTTATCTTATTTTTTAATTTGCAGTTTTTGTTTCACGAAAAATTTTCTTTAGGAATACATTGAGATTTTAGTTTTGATTTGTTCAGTTTTAACTCTTTAAATGTAAGTTTATAAACTCTTGAATGTAATAGCATTAAATACAAGTTTTTAGCTGCACACTGTGTATAATTTGTTCATAAACCTTATCTGCTATACGAGATGGTACCCTTGCATTGAGTCTACTTTCAGATCCGCTCAATTTAAACGAATGTTTGAGGTTTCTTTGAAAAGTGTAAAGGTATACAATCAGGCCCAGATAGCCCACAATGATTTATATTAGCTCTTATGAGATTTTAGGCTGGCTGGTCCAGTTATTCTTGTTAATTGAGGTAACTGGACCCACCGTATGTACAATTTTATTATTTATTTTATTATTACTTTAATACCTTCAATTAAATTAAGGTTTCATACATTTAAATAGTATTAAATGGAGGTCATGTTTTTATACATATAGTTAAAATTCCCTTATACTTTGATCATTAAGATGTTCAGAGATTCAAGATTCAGATTTGTTGTAAAATCATGGTCCAATTACCCCACCTCACCCTATGACACGAAGTACTTAAATATAAATTAAGCAGGATTTTGTCAAGCAAATACATATAATTATTGGAATCATATATTTCAGATAGAGTATTTAGGGTCAAGCAAGAAGCTTCCTGGTAATTAAAAGAAATCAATTCAAGTGTATCACCAGGTAGTGTGATAAGAGTAGTCCTGTACCTATTATACACTAGTGATACACCTAAATTAGATCATAACACAATAGCTACATTTGCTGATGGTACTGTACTAGGTAAAAAACATGATTGTTAACAGACTTTAACAAACGCCTAAATTTAGGCGAATTAAATTAAATGAAATGAAGTCAGTGCAAATTAATTTTACAAACAATAAGAAACAACACAGTCCTGTTAATGTAAATGATACCCAGATATCATATGCCGATACTGCAAAATATTTGAGTATTACATTAGACTGATATAAGGCTGAATGCTCGAATAAATAAATTTTAATCAAATAAAAGGGAGATATCGAGCACAGTTTTTATTAAATCTTGCCCAAGTACTTTCGATCCTAGAGCATCTTCAGGGGCATCTGAAATAAGCCAAGAAACGTTTTTTCAACTAAAGAAAATTAATTAACCTCGAAAAAACTCAAAGTTGATGGTTAATAAAATTGTTTTTATTTAATATAACGTTTTAGACTTACTTCGTCAAAGTAGGCCATCCAACAATATATATATATATATATATATATATATATATATATATATATATAGAATGTCATAAGCATTATAAGATACCTTGACACAACACGATACAAGGACAAAAAGTTTAAAAATTATTGAAAACGACGAAGCTACATATTGGGTGGCATCAGAAGATAGAATGGCTCCTGGTCTTAACGGAAATGTTAAAGTCAAATTACATTTCATTAGACGCTAGGTTGGAGGTTAAGAAAAGAGAACAAAAGAATGTATTGGCTGTTGGGAAGACAATCCAACCTGTCGATCTACAACAAAATACTTTTGTATAAACAGATTCTAAAACATATATGACATATGGCACTCAGCTGTGGGGCTGTGCTAGTAAGAGTAATTTAGACGTTATCCAGCGATTCCAAAGCAAAGTTCTAAGGAGCATTGTCAACGATCCATGTACTATAGGAACAGTGACCCCATTTTTTGATAGTTTAAAGCATAATATATGTGTATTTATTGGTTTGAAAGTTATGTTACATCAAATAAAAATAAAACAACTCTGCAAAAACGTGGTGTAAGTACCTACCTTGTGAGCTCTGATCGAGTGGCCCTCCGAGCAGGCCAGAGTGACGTCGACTAGGCTTTCGTCTCTCAACAACTGACTAAAGACGCCGAGGAGGTTGCTCTGATGATTGTTCCACCTCAGGCAGTAATGCTCACTTCCCATCTCTCCTGACGATAACCACACTGTAACAAAGATATTATTGTAGTTCCCTTGCTGATAGATTATAGTTATAGTTAAAGGAAGATATTTCGACCTTAAATATTGATTTTAGCTTAATGAGAGAGATCAAAATAGTTTAAAATATGATTCTCTCCACTTTTGTGTATGTACATTATTGTCGTAAAGTTAATAATAAACTAGATGATTGAATAATTATGCTTCCTCCCTCCTTCTACTATATCCTAAAATACGGAGAAATTAATAAATCCTTTAAGTTCAAGATGGCGTCTAACGCTGCCATCTTGAACGATTGAATCCCCGATGGGATTCAGTCGTAATTTTAAACTAACGCTACTATTGAGCACTCCTAAGATTACTCCATAGCTTGCTATGCAAGGTCAAATGACATCCCGACTGGACTATTAGGTTAGGTTAGAAAATTGGTTAAGGCACTTAAACATAAGCAATATACACTAAAACTAAACTTTCTGCTTGATATTCCCACAGTAATCCTAAAAATGCGATCGTTAAAATTTTAATACAAGAAACGATAATGGAAGAAGGATGATAGACTTTTGCATGGAGAATAATTTGATTATCACCAACACATTTTTTGAACACAAAGATATACACAGGTTTACGAGAGAAGTCAGGAGCAGAAATAAAAAATCAATTCTAGATTATGTTCTCATTAATAGAGAATTTAGGAAAGAGGTCACTGACGTCAGAGTTAAAAGAGGCCCGGAAATCTATAGTGACCACTATCTGGTAATGGCAAAAATAAGATTGATTACCCCAAAAAAAACCCTAAAACCACTCAACAAAGAACAAAAAATAATAAAGTGAACGAGAATATCCAAAACTATAAACTAAATGATCAAAAAGTCGCGGCCATGTTCAAAAGTAAAATAGAAGAAAAACTAGCCAAATTAACTAATGCACATAGTACTGAGAACTTACAGGAAAATTGGAAACAATTTAAAGAAACCATCGTGACGACAGCAAAAGAAACGTGTGGAATAAACCATGTAAACAGAAATAAGAAGCAAACACGATGGTGGGACGATGAATTAAAAGCCCAAATAAAATATAAAAAACAGAAATGGAAAATATATTTAAACAAGAGAACAGAAAGTAGTTACGAAGAATATAAACGACATAGAAAGGTGGTGAAAGAAATGGTGCTGAAGAAGAAGAAGGAAGCCTGGGATGAGTTTGGAATGAAGATGGAGGCAGATAGCCGGGGTAACCAAAAATTGTTTTACAAGGCACTAAAGACGCTAAGAAAAGATAAAGAAACAACGATGAAACAGGTGAAAGGTAAAGACGGCACACTGATTACCAGACCAAATGAGATTATGGAAAGATGGAGACAATACTTCAGCGAACTCCTAACACCAAGACAGCCGAAAGAGGAAACTGTAATGATAGAAGTAGAAGGAGAACATGGGCAAGAAAATTATATTCAAATAGAAGAAGTTAAAGAAGCAATTAACAACACAAAGAGAGGTAAATCGGCTGGTCATGACAAAATCACTGCAGAAATGTTAAAGACAATGGGACCGAAAGGAGTTGAATTTTTAACCAAAATTATGAACATGGCTTGGAACCGATGTACAGTCCCCGAAGATTGGAGAATTGGCATAATACTACCAATCTTTTAGAAAGGAGACCCAAGTTCTTGTGAAAATTATAGAGGAATTAATCTACTTAGTATCGTCTCCAAAATATATGAAAGCATCCTAGAAAAGAAATTAAGACACATCGTTGAACCACATCTAGATGAAGTACAAAGTGGGTTTAGGAAGGGACACAGTACGCAAGACCATATATTTACGTTAAAACAAATAATTGAGAAAGCGAGAATAAAGAACACAGAAATATATATGGCTTTTCTAGATATTGAGAAAGCATTTGACAGAGTGTCCCAGGAAGCAGTCTGGAAAAGTCTGCAAAATAGAAATATTGACCATCAACTAACAGGTGCTATCAAAAGTGTGTATCAAAATAACAAGAGTTATGTACGTAAGGATAACTTGGAATCAGAGATGTTTGCAATAAACGAGGGTCTAAGACAAGGAGGTGTTATGAGCCCCACACTATTCATATTGATTATTGACGACATAATTAAGGAAACAAAAGCAAGTATACACCAAGTACATATCGGATATAGTAAACTACAACCGGTTGGTATAGCTGAGTATGCATTCGCAGATGATCTCATGTTATGCGCTTCCAACGAAAGGGACCTCCAGAAAAATATAGATACCTGGAATAATGAGCTGGCAATCAGAAACATGAAGATTAATGTTAAGAAAACCAAGGTGATGCTAATAGCGAAAACTAACCGAAATGTTAACATAGAAATTAACCAACAACTCATAGAACAAGTAGATGCATTCAAATACCTAGGGGTTACAATAGACAGAGAAGGTACCATGCAGAATGAAATAACAGAAAGAATCAGTAGTGCTTCAAAAGTGTACCATAATCTTAGAAGAGCATTCATAGGTAAACCGGAAATCAGCAGAAGAACCAAAATGACAGTTTATAAGACAGTATTCCGACCAATCTTGATATATGGAAGCGAAAGCTGGGTTTTAACAAAGCAATTAAAAAGCAAGATACAAGCCATTGATATGAAATATCTAAGACGAGTCAAAGGAATAACACGACGAGACAAAATAAGAAATGAAGATGTTAGAGAAGAACTGGGTACAGAATCAGTACTACATGCTATTGAAACACAACAAATAAAATGGTTTGGTCATTTGTGCAGAATGAGCGACAACCGACCCGTTAAGCAAGTCTGGAAGGCTAAAGTGAAAAGGTTTAAAATTAGAGGCAGACCACGGAAAACCTGCGATGACGAAGTAGAGCATTTACCTCACACCTTAGGGTAGAGAGGTTTTCGATTATATATATATATATTATATATATATATATATATATAAAATTTAATAGATAGAACTGTACTTTAAACTCTCGTTTGATATTTGGCCTTTGGTTGCCATATTAAAAAAATAAAAAAAAGAACAAAATAAAAAAATTTTGAAAAATTAAGGCAAATATCGAGCACAATATTAATAATCAAATCTTGCCCAAGTACTTTCGCTTTCTACAGCATCATCAGGCGCATTTCGTCAAATTTGGGCTATCCAGCGAGCGCAGAATGTAATAAACATGAAATTGGACATAAATTAAACATAACACTACATTAAAACAAGGACAAACAGTTTAAAATTATTAAAAATTATTCTACGCTCTACATTCTTGTCGGCAACAGGACGAAATGCCCCTGATGATGCTGTAGAAAGCGAAAGTACTTGGGCAAGATTTGATTATTAAATTTGTGCTAGATATTTGCCTTAATTTTTCAAAGTTCATTTATTCGAGCATACAACCTTATATCAATTAAAATAAGAAAATAAGAAAACAAATATAGTAAAACAATCACTAAGAGGATCTAAACCTCCTTTCCTAGGTGTTGAATCGGGTTTATGTCCGAACATAGTCATATATATATATATATATATATATATATATATATATATATATATATTATATATATATATATATATATATATATATATATATACAGTGTAGGTAAAATTTTAAGGTCGGTATGGTAAAATTTAACAGGATATCTAACGCAGATATAAAATCATATTTTCAACGAATTAGACAAAGATAACAATCATATTTCCCCTTCGTCTCCCCTCCTAAAATTATTTTAACACTCATTGGCCATTGCCTATTAGTCAGACGATTAGTTCCGATCAGATATTCTCTGGTTCCGATCCTAATATACCTAAAAAACTAGAGGTGGGTCTTCTCGTTTTTTTAATTTTTATCGGAACCGTTTTTCGTAAACTGTAACTAGTTGATTGTTTACCAGTATTCAAATTAGCGAGTACACAAACATATTAGCTATTATCGTTTATGTGTATAAGTATTGAAATAAAAGAACCTAACGAAGGATATATTTATTGTAACTTGAAAAATAAATTAAATAATACAAATGGTACTTAAATAGTTACATTTACATTACACATTATTAAATCGCGAATCGTCTAAATTGACATTTAAAAACATAAGTTTTTCCACTTTTCTTGTTAATCGCGTTCTTCTTTTATTTAAAATTATACCAGATGTTAAACATGTGTTCACAAGGAAAAGATTTTGTTACAATACTACAACATTTTATGAATATAGTGGTTAAGTTACGATATACATGGCGATGGTTTTTTCACCACGGTAATGGACAGTTCCAATCTCCATTCGAAATTGTTTGTGGGTAATATATCATCAGACAATTACATGTCGACTTCTTTTATACCTCTCGATACAGGTGTATGTTTAGATGAGTCATGTCCAATTAATTCATCAAAAATACACCATGGACTTAAGTCATCTTTATCAGTTTCTTTTTCTTGGACTGATTGATTTTCAAGATTTACTAAACTTTTCGTTTCATCCGTTTTCCATAGTTAAAGAACCAGCTTTTAAAAAGTTTGCAGGGTGGATTCCTGGATATAAACCACCAACAAGAAAAACTTTGTCAGGTTCATTACTTCAGGAATATTATGTCAAAAGTGAGCAAATTATTAGATCGCAAGTTGTTAAAGAAGTAGAAAATATCTGTATTACCTGGACATCTGGAGTAACTGAGAGTTACTTCGCATTAACAGGACAATATTTAACACAGGACAATAGTTTTTATGTCAATTTAGACTATTCGCGATTTAATAATAACGTGTAATGTAAATGTAAGTCCGATTTACTATTTGTATTATTTAGTTTAGAACAGAATATTTAAAACAGAATATTTAAAAATTGGAGGAAATACCACAGATCTGAGGCTTGAAAACGCAGTCATAAAAGGCTGCAACCAGTATAAATATCTAGGAAGCATCATATCAGCAGATGGCAGAGTTAAGATAGATGTACAAAACCGAATAACCCAAGGGAAAAAATGCATCCGAATACTGAATTCATTACTG